ATAATATTTAGGGGAAATTAATTATAAAATTTTAACACATATATTTAGGAATCAAATGCACTTTGCCAATATAAACCATACTCAAATTTTTTAGGTTTTAGTGAAGTGTTGGCTATTCTGTGTTTTGAATTTTGCATGCTTATGCTATGTACTCTTTATGACATAAGTAAACATTATATGCAGGTATTTTCCTTTTTCTTGAAAGGTGTATACTTATCAGAAGTCACTGATATGTGACTTTTCTTGAAAGGTGTATACTTATCAGAAGTCATTGGAATTATTTGAAATAAGCAATCTAAAAAGAACGTCTGAAAATTAGGGAGCGTCCAAATTGAATTTTGTGATTCATGTGGTGCTGTTTATCTGCATAGGTTATTTAAAGTCTCTCTTGAGAAGAGGGAAGATCATGCTGAAGTGCCTGCATATGTAACAAGTACTTATTTTATTTTTTTAGAGATGGGGTCTTACTCTGTCACCTTGGCATATTAATTTATAAAAAAGACAAGAGGGTAAAACTCAAACCTTTGTATTTTTACCAAGGACTGAAACCTGAATTTGTATTGGGAAATACCATCTCATTTTTGTTTCAAATTTCTCCATGAAATTTGAAAGAAAACTCTACAAAAGTACATGTATTCCTGTACATTATAAAGGCATCTTTTATAAAGAAGTTGTTTTTTTGAGGCTGCTCCTCAGATGTCAGCTGCACTTTATAATGTCAGCTTTTAAGGAGGAAAGTTACAACTGAATCATTTGTTACCAAAGTGAAAGTAAAAACATCCATTTACTGTGATAGTTAAAAGTGATAAAGTCAAACATGGCATGTGAATTGTAAATATCATGATTTTCCCAGTTTCTTAGAAGGAAGCATAGGACTAAAATCACACTTGAAGCTAATGAAGTATAATTTGAAGCAAATAGTATTTGTCACTTACTGAGAGCAATACCAGTCACTGCTTAAGGGACTATCAACAATTATAAAACATTATGTCACAAAATTCAGAGTGAAATGCATAATGTTTTCAAAACTCACTGTTGCACTTACCTCTCTTTTTTTATTGCTGCTGCTTAAAACCAGTGATGTATTTTCACTCCGAAGTTCTCCCGTTATAGTAAGATTTAGGCTGGAAAAATATGACTGAAAAGGAAACAGGATTTGTTTTTAATATATTATGCTAATCAAAATGAGAGCTAGTCATGTTTGAGTAGGACAATTATAAAAGCTAAGATTTTTCTGAAAGAGTAAAAATTCTGGTTTTGTTAGCTTCTGGATGGAACTGGTGGTATCAAATAATAACCGTGTATTTATCCTCTACCCTTTGCCACAGAAAATCCTTACTTAGATCCTTGTTACGGAATGGAAAAAAATTTTTAAAGTATTTTCTATTGATTTATTATTAGAAACAAACATCAAACTCTGCCTACTTTTAATGTAACAATACATGTAACAGCTACACTCTGGTGATGAAGTTTATCCAGGTACTTATTCAGGATTAAAAAATGAAATTGATGATCTGGGAGGACAAGATGGCTAACTAGACATAGCCAGGAAGCACCACTTCCACTGAGAGCCCAAATTATCAAGTAGACCAACATAATTTGGGCAGATCTGATCTCCAGGGAGAAAACACCAAGAGTGTGTGGAGGGGCAACACAGATACTAAGGCTGAAGAGGGTGAAGCTGGGAACCCTGTGTAGGGTACCTGGATGCTTGGGCTACTGAATAAGGGGAGAGGGAGGGGACTGAGGGACAGCTCATTCTCTCCACAGATCTCTGGGATCTAAGCTACAGGGTACCCACATCTCCAATGAATGTGTGAGGTGGCAGGTGGATTTTCCCAGGGAGTAGGTAGACACAGGGCTTCAGCTAGCATGGAGCCCAAGAGCTTTTGTGAGCAAAGCACAGATATAGGTGCCCAACCCTTCAGAGAGGCTCTAGCCCTAGGTGACCACAAACCAGGAGAGAGCAGGCTTCCCCCATGGGAATGGGGCATATCTGTTCTGCAGCCTCTCCTGCCTGCCGGCCCTCCCTAGGGTCCCTGCCTAGCTGCCCCAAAGGAGCATGTGCACAGCACAGTCTCTGCTGCCCAGCCTGTGTGCTGTGCCCCACCTGAGTACTTTCACTGTACTTTGGATCCTCCAAAGCAACCAGAGCCTGACTCTGAGCTGTGGGGTGCCCTGGAGACTCAGAGATGCCATGTCCAGCCCAGGAGTACCAAGCTGAGATATGTGGCTGACACTCAAGTGGCAGGGGGAGCCCCCATCTCAGAGCACTGAGACAGGTAACACATGGACTCGTGGGCCAGCCCCAGGCCAGCGTGGGAGCAGGGCATGCTGCCTTCACGGGCCTGGTTCAAAAAAGGTGTCACCTATCTCTCTGCCTTGGCCTCTGCCTGAGGGAGCCTGTGGCTCAGAAAACCTAAAAAAGAAACATCGGTACAGTGCCAGTGATCGGAGGAGGCCTCTCCCCATCCACTGCAGAGCACACCTGCAAAGATGAGCAAATACAAGAGTGGCTAGACTAAGAGCCTATCTACTGGCCATTGCTCTTAAGTATCCTCTACTGGATGAAAGCTCAAATTACAACCCAAAAATTATTTTGCTAATAAACGTTCCTGTGAGAATTCACGCACAAATAAAGATCCAGTACAGAGCCTTGGCCCTCTGATATCATCCAGAAACAAACCCAACTGACTACACTCAACTTATACCACAGTTCAAGAACATCAGTTCCCAAGAAGAGAAATAACCGGCACAATAACCCAAGCAATTCAAAAAGCCAGAATGTCCTTTTACTTCCAATGAGCCCACTAGTTCCCCAGCAATGGTTCTGAACCAGACTGAAATGACTAAAGTGACAGATATACAATTCAGAATCTAGATGGCAAGGAAGCTCACTAAAATTCAGAAAACGTTGAAACCCAATGCAAGGAATCCAGTAAGACAATCCAAGAGCTGAAGGATGAACTAGCCATTTTAAGAAAGAAAATGCCAGGTAGTTCAGGAGTTCAAGATCAACCAGGGCAACCTAGTGAGACCTCGTCTCTACAAAAAAGTTGAAAAGAACCACCCCCCCCGCCCCCGCAAAAAGGAAGAATAAAACTGAATTTCTGGGATAAAAATTTACTGCAAGAATTTCATAATACAACTGGAAATATTAATAGTAGAACAGATCAAGCCAAGGTAAGAATCTCAGATCTTGAAGATTGTTTTTTTAAATTAACTCAGTCAGATAAAAATTAAAAAAAATAATTTTAAAAAGCGAACAAAACCACCAAGAAATATGATATTATTTACATAGTTTCCAAAGAGCAAACTTAAAACTCATGAGCATTCCTGTGAGAGAAGAAAAGAAAGAAAGCAACTTGGAAAATATATTTGAGGATATAGTCCACAAAAATTTTTCTAATCTTGCTAGAGAGGTTGATATGCAAATTCAAGAAATATGGAGAACGCTAGCTAGATACTATACAAGATGGCCATCCCCAAGGCACACAGTCATCAGATTCACAAATGTCAATTCAGAAATCAAACAAACCAACGAAAAACAAACTTAAGGCAGCTAGAAAGAAGGGTCAGGTCATGTACAAAGGGAACCCCAGTGGCAGACCTCTCAGTAGAAACCTTACAAGCCAGAAAAGGTTTAGAACTTATTTTCAGTATTCGTAAAGAAAAGAAATTCCTCAAAGAATTTTATATCCCATGAAACTAAGTTTCACAAGCAAAGAAGAAATAAAATCCTTCTCAGACAACCAAATGGTGAGGGAATTTATTACAACTAGACAAGCCTACGAGCGATCTTCAAGGGAGTGTTAAACATGGACCCAAAAGAATGACACCTATTACCACAAAAACACACTTAAGCACATAGCCCACAGACACTAAAAAGCAACTACATAATCAAATCTACATAACAACTAGCTGACAACACAATGACAGGATCAAAATTTCATACATATGTCAATACTAACCCTGAATATAAAAGGGCTAAACACCCCCTTAAAATACATAGAGAGGCAAGATGTGTAAAAAGACAAGGCCCAACCGTATGCTGTCTTCGACTCATCTTACATTTAACAACATCTACAGGGTCAAAGTAATGGAGAACAATCTACCATGCAAATGGAAATCAAATATAGATAAATGCCTGAAAATAGGAAGATTAAACCACAAGAACATGAAAATCTAAACAGACCAGTAACAAGTTCTGAAATTGAATCACTAATTAAAAAAACATATCAACCCCCCCGCAAAAAAAAAAAAAAAAAAAAAAAAGTCCTGAACCAGCTAGAGTCACAGCTGAATTCTAACAGATGTACAAAGAAAAGCTGGTACCAAATAAAACTATTCAAAAAAATTGAAGAGGAGGGGTTCCTCCCAAACTCTGTCTATGAAGCCAGCACCTTCTTGATACCAAAATCTAGCAGATACACAATAAAATATCAGGCCAATATCCCTGATGAACAGAGATACGTTTTTAAAAAATACTGGCAAACTGAATTCAGCAGCACATCAAAAAAGTTAACACATCATGATCAAGTGGTTTTTATTCCTGGGATTTAAGGCTGGTTCAATGCATGAAAATCAATAAATACGATACACTCCACAAACAGGATTAAATGCAGAAACCATATGATCATCTCAACAGATGGAGAAAAAGCTTCTGATAAGTCCAACACCCCTTCATGATAAAAGCTTTCAACAGACTAGGCATCAAAGGAACATATCTCCAAATAGTGAGTCATCCATAACAAATCCAAGTCAACATCATACTGAATGGACAAAAGCTGGAACCATTCCCCTTGGGAACTGGAATAAGACAAGGATACCCCCTTTTACCACTCCTATTCAACTTAGTACTATAAGTTCTAGCCAGAGCAATAACGCAAAGTAAAGAAATAAATACATCCAAATAGAAATAGAAGACATCAAGCTATCTTTTTCCACTGATAATATGATCCTATACCTAGAAAAAGCTTAAGACTCTGCCAAAAGGTTTTCTCTGCTCTTCCGACCTGTCTGTGTGTTCGGCATTCTCACGTTTTAATTTCCAGGATTTGAACTCGCTGCCATGTCTTCTGAAGAAGGAAAGCTTTTCGTAGGGGGGCTCAACTTTAACACCGATGAGCAGGCACTGGAAGACCACTTTAGCAGCTTCGGGCCTATCTCTGAGGTGGTTGTTGTCAAGGACCGGGAGACTCAGCGGTCCAGGGGTTTTGGTTTCATCACCTTCACCAACCCAGAGCATGCTTCAGTTGCCATGAGAGCCATGAACGGAGAGTCCCTGGATGGTCGTCAGATCCGTGTGGATCACGCAGGCAAGTCTGCTCGGGGAACTAGAGGAGGTGCCTTTGGGGCCCATGGACGTGGTCGCAGCTACTCTAGAGGTGGTGGGGACCAGGGCTATGGGAGTGGCAGGTATTATGACCGTCGACCTGGAGGGTATGGATATGGATATGGACGTTCCAGTTCCAGAGACTATAATGGCAGAAACCAGGGTGGTTATGACCGCTACTCAGGAGGAAATTACAGAGACAATTATGACAACTGAAGTGAGACATGCACATAATATAGATGCACAAGGAATAATTTTTGATCCAGGATCGTTCTTCCAAATGGCTGTATTTATAAAGGTTTTTGGAGCTACACTGAAACATCTTATTTTACAGTATATCAACCGGTTTTTAAATTGAGCTGCCAAGGTAGCCAAACACCTGTCTAATTAGACACCTCTATCTTTTAAAAAGAAAAAAATGTTCTGCCTGTTTAAAATTACATTTGTAGTATTTTTCTTTTTACCAGTTTTTTAGTTTGAGCTCTCAGAATTATTGGATCTAGCAATAACTGGCAAGTTGGGCCAGATTGATTTCAAAAAAATTAATATGTATCCAGGGACATTTTAAAAACCTGTACACAGTGTTTATTGTGGTTAGGAAGCAATTTCCAAATGTACCTATAAGAAATGTGCATCAAGCCAGCCTGACCAACATGGCAAAACCCTGTTTCTACTAAAAATATAAAAATTAGCTGGGTGTGGTGGTGCACGCCTGTAATCCCAGCTACTCAGGGGGCTGAGGCAGGAGAATCACTTGGATCCAGGTGGCAGAGGTTGCAGTGAGCCAAGATAGTGCTACTGCCCTCCAACCTGAAAGAGAGACTCCGTCTCAAAAAAAAAAAAAAAAAAAAAAAGGAAAGAAAAGAAATGTGCATCAAGAAATCAAGAACATGATTATCCAGGGGTGTTTTGTAATTCAGATCACTGACCTGTTGTATAGAAGAGTTATTTTAAAATGTTTGCAAATGTCTTTTTTTTTTTTAAATACTGGAAGTAAAAATATTCTGCTGTGTCTCATATAGTGTTTAGGATGTCCTTCACAGAGCTTATTAAAAAGATGAACCTAAAAAAAAAAAAAAAAAAAAAGACTCTGCCAAAATAACTCCTAGAATTCATAAATGACTTTAGTAAAGTTTCAGAATATAAAACAGATGTACAAAAATTAGTAGCATTTCTATACACCAGTCATGTTCAAGCTGACAGTCAAATAAAGAACACAATTTACAAAAGCTAAAAAAACATTGAAAACATTGAAATACCAGGAATACAGCTAATCAAGGAGGTGAAAGATCTCTGAAAGAAGACCTACAAAACACTGCTGCAAGAAATCAGAGATTAGACAAATAAAAGGAAAAACCCTTCATTTAATATCATTAGGCCATACTGGCTAAAGCAATTTATAGATTCAACACTATTGCTATCAAAGTACCAACATCATTTTTCACAGAATTAGAAAAAACTATTCTAAAATTCATATGGATCCCCCCCAAAAAAGAGCACAGGTAAAAAGAACAAGCCAGACCCATCAAACTACCTGACTTTGAATTCTACCATAAGGCTACAGTAACCAAACCAGTATGGTACTGGTACAGAAGAGCCGCATGGACCAGTGCAACAGAAAAGAGAATTTATAAATAAAGCCACACACCTACAACCATCTGATCTTTGAGAAAGTCAACAAAAACAAGCCATGGAAGGACTCCCTAGTCAATAAATGGCGTTGAGATAACTGGCTAGCCATATGCAGAAGAATGAAACTGAATCCCTAACTTTCACCATATAAAAAAACTAACTCAACATACAGTAAAGATTTAAATGTAAGACCATAAACTATAAAAATGCTGTAAGAAAACCTAGGGAATATCCTCCCTGACATTGGTCTTGGCAAATAATTTTTGGCTAAGTCTCTAAAAGCAGTTGAGACAAAAACAAAAATTGACTCAAATGGGATCTAATTAAACTAAAGAGCTTCTGCACAGCAAAAGATACTATGAATAGAGTAAACAGATAACCTACAGAATGGGAGAAAAGATTTGCAAACTACGTAACTGACAAAGGTCTAATATGTAGAATGAGGAACTTTTGCAAATCAGCAAACAAACAACAAATAACCACATTAAATAACGAGCAAAGGACATGAACAGACACCCCTCAAAAGAATACATGCAAGTGGCCAGCAGACATATCAAAGAATGCTCATTATCACTAGTTATTAGAGAAATGCAAAGCAAAATAAAAAAATGACAGATGATGGTGTGGTGGTGGAGAAAAGAAGAAACTTATACACTATTGGTGGGGATGTAAATTAGTTCAGTCACTGGGAAGCAATTTGGAGACTTCTTAAACAACTTAAAACAGAACAGCCATTCAACCCAGCAATCCCATTACTGAGTTTATATCCAAAATAAACTGTTTACCAGAAAGACACATGCTGTCATATCTTCACTGCAGTGCTATTCACAACAGCAAAGACATGGAATCAACATAGTTGCCCATCAACAGTGGACTAGATAAAGAAAATATGGTACATCTACATCATGGAACACTGCACAGCCATTAAAAAAAGAACAAAATCATGTCCTTTGCAGCAATATAAATGCAGATGGAGGCCATAATCGTAAGCGAATGCCACAGAAACAGAAAACCAAATACCACATGTTCTTACTTATAAGTGGGAGTTAAGCATTGGGTACTCATGGATATAAACATGGCAACAATGGGCACTGTGGACTACTTGGGGGAACTGACAAACTACCTGCTGGGTATCAGGTCCACTACCTGAGCAGTGGAATCTGTTCCCAAAACCTTAATATCATGCAAATATACTCCTGTTACAAACCTGTGCATCTAAAACAAAAGTTGATATTTAAAAAATGAAATTGCCAATATTAACAGTTAATGACATAAAAATAGCGACTTACTATGATCAAAATCAAAAATGGCAATGTCATATGGTCAACTAAATACTTCCTAAGTGAGAAACAAATAATACGAAATACAGTAAAAAGTTTTAAAGTAGCTTATTGTCAGACAGATTTGGCTTAATAAGGGGTTAAAAATGTCTTCATATATACATATATATTATAACATTATATATATATGTATACAAAATACAAGTCTGATAAAACTCAGTAAGTCTGTGGTATATGTTAGCTGTTTCCTTTGTTAGTGGGGTCAAAGGTTGCCACTTTATAATTCTCTGTACATTAACTGAGTGCCAACATATTAAGGTAAGCTTTTGAAAGGTATTCATCTCTTAAGGTACAAAGAAAAGGGATAAGAGAGATGGAAAAAAGTATATCTCTCTGGAAGGGACCTTGGCAATAACTTAGTTCTTAACAGACAGGGAAGATGAGACACACACAGCTGGTTAAGTAGAGCTGGGGCTTCGTCACATTCTCTTAGACTTCTAGTCTCACATTCTTTCCAACAGCAGCATGGCGCCTTGCATATTCTGAGTGGTAAACAAATATTTATTGATATTATTCATCGGTGCATAGAACAATGTAATTACTTACTTTTATAAAAGTTGGTTTCCACAAGATAAGTGAAACATTCACTTGGCTCATGTCAGAAGGAGTGAGATTACACGTGATGGTAGCAAATTTACATGTACTGCAGTCCTGTTTAAATGCCCAGAGATACATATCAGTATTATCGCCAAGGTAGTAAATATACTATATTCGAATACTTCAGATAGGTATTTCTAGATTGATATCAAATTTATTCATTTGGAAAGCAAAAGGTAAAAATAGCACTTGTCTTAATTTACCAGAATTGTGCCTTGTTTAAGATGGTCAGTTGATGTAATCATTTTCTTTCCAGACTTGATACTGAAAGGATCCTCAGAGATATGGGGTCTGCAGTTTGCATTCTAGAAATGAAAAGATCACATTTATTAGACAATGCCAGATAGCAGAGGAAAAGATGACTTGGTGCAGTGGTGTGAAGAATCTGTGAATGACACCATTGCCGTATATTAAAGATCCATTTTTGTAAGTGTGCTGTGTGGAAAAGGCTGTTATGTACCAGCCATACATACATATATATCCACCCCAAGATGGATTGTTACCATTATTGTAATGGATACTAATGAGGTTGTTACGGAAAAGAAAGAATGCTAATAGAACTTACTATTACATGATTAACATATTCATTAATTTATTACTTTAATCAAAGATAAGCTTTTAAATTACATACAACAGAAGAGGAGAACATTTAAAACTCTACTGACAAAAACAAAAACAACAGCCAGGCATGGTGGCTCACGCCTGTAATCCCAGCACTTTGGGAGGCTGACGTGGGTGGAACACCTGAGGTCAGGAGTTCGAGACGTGCCTGGCTAACATGGTGAAACCCCATCTCTACTAAAAACACAAAAATTAACTACGTGTGGTGGTGAGCGCCTGTAGTCCCAGCTATTCGGGAGGCTGAGGCAGGAGAATCACTTGAACTTGGGAGGTGGAGGTTGCAGTGAACAAAGATTGTGCCACTGCACTCCAGCCTGAGCAAGAGGGAGACTTCGTCTCAAAAAGAAAAAAAAAAAGGAAACAAAAACAATAAAAATACTTGTTCAATATTACAGCTGTTGAAACAACTGGAAAGAGAGAGACCTTCATCTGTATTTATGTATTCATCCAATAATACTTTTGATTTCCTACACACCAAGGGTAAGACACTCAGTCTACCTGTGAGGAAGATGTAAGCAGGCAGCCCTTTGGATGTTAACATATTATGTTAAAATGCTATGTTTGTAAGATAGTTGGTTCTAGACTTAACCTAGTAAACCTTTGCTTCCCCAGTACTCTTTATATCCTTGATAAAAGAAAACAAGATTAAAATTTTTGAAGCAGTATGAAAAGTACAATTTTTTTCTCTTCTGAGTTTTCACAGACCTGCTTTTTTGGATGAGAGGGAAATTCCAGACACTGATTTTTCCCTTGCCCTTAGGAAAACATTTTAGTGATCAAAAGCCAGCTAGCACTGCTGCTATTTCTTGATTTCTGAGAATACTTTTTAAAATGCATGAACAGATTTTCAAATTCTGAAATCATGCACACATTAATTCAATACTTATGGTGATTTTTGTTTTAGACACTAAACCGTAATGAACTATCACAGAGTCTCATTCAATGCTACAAATATCAAGGGGGTGCAATATTGCTATTATTTGGGATGTCAGTAAATGCAATTATACTATTTTGTGTGCAGCTCTGCATGCTTAGGCAAACATAAGATGACAGTTTATAGAGTTGTTTGATTACCACATACCAAGGAAAAGTGAAACAAACATTTCAGGCATAAATCAACAATGAACTATCTAAAATCTACTCTAGTAGATTGAATATTGATCCCCGAAGATATGCCTAAATCCTCCTAGAACTAGTGAATGTGACTTTACTTGGAAATACGGTCTTTGCAGATGTAGTTATATTAAGCATCTTCAGATGAGATCACTCTGGATTTAGGGTGGACCCTAAATCTGATGGTGAGTGTGCAGAAACACAAAGAGAGAAGGAGAACACACAGAAACACAGAGAAGGCCAGGTGAAGATAGAGACAGAAATAGGAATTATGCTGCCACAAGCCAAGGAACACCAAGGGTTGCTGGCTGTCACCGGAGGCTAGGAAAACAGCATGAAAAAGAGTCTCTCTCGGAGCCTTCAGAGGGAATTAACATCGTCAACACCTTGACTTCAGCCTTCTGGACTCCAGAACTGTGAAAGAATAAATTTCTGCTTTTTTAAGTCACTCGATCTGTGGTAATGTGTTACAGCAG